CCAGACGGCTGTAACCCCCGCTCCCCAGAGTTTGCCTGAGGCTCAGAAGCGGCCAAGAAGCTGGGGACCCAGGCCTCCGTGGCGTCACTTCCCGTGAGGGTGGAGGGAGGAGCACGCTGTAGGTGACATCAGTTAGTCAGCTTTGATATGGAATACTTGCTAGTTCTCCTAAACAGCACTGAACACATTCTGGAGTGCAACCCTGTGTGTCATCCACGTCCACTACCACATTCCTGTGGATCTGAATGTAACGCCTCTGAAGACAGAACACAGTGGCAAATTTCTATGAGAAGGGATCAGCGTTCCCTTCACCACTGGGACTGACTGGCTGTCACCCCCTTTTTGCTCTTAAGCAGAAGAGGCCATAAAGCTAGTCAACAGAAAATTCAGGATTCCAGTCCAGGGTTTCCTGGTTCCAGGGCTGTGATTCTCCCACGATGCTCCCTGGGTGAGGAGCCAGAGGTCCCTGGCCGCACAGACTGCCCGCACCGCTCACTGCTGTGCAGCCTGCTTCCCCCCAGCCTTCAAGCTGTCTTAGTTCCAGCTGGACTTGGCCACAGGACATGGAGGTGGAATCGCAAAGACTCCAACAGCTTATGTGCACCGAGGCTCTCTGCGTCCAGGCCCAGCGCTAAGGGTTTGGTCTGAAGGACTTGCGTTTGACCCTCACCGCGTCTCCACGAGGAAGGCGCTGTTACAGTTACACTCACTGAGCGAACATGGAAGTGGACGGAGGCTCATGGAGTTTAGGTCTTTTTCTTCTTCAAAGTCACATAGCTCCAGATTTCAACCTAGGTTTTTGTTTTTTGTTTTAATGTTTATTTAGTATCCCATACCCTCCCAAAAAGGATGCGAGGTGGATATGATCAGTGGTGACAAATCACAGAAGACACTTTTACAAGGAGAAATGATTCTAGTGGAAGGTGAGGGAAGGATGACTGAGGGCAGGCAGGCTCAGCTAGCCCCGGCCACCACAGGAGCCGAAAGGTCTAGACTAGTCCATGTCAAAGGCTCACCTAATTGAGGTTGTTAACTGTACGTTAAGGTCATATTTTACTAGATTGCCTGTGCTCGGGGTCATCAGTCACTCCTCCCTTTCCCACACCTGTCCAATCAGTCAGAACCCAATCTCCTCCAGTACGTCCCCCTTCTCTGCTCTCATCTCTGCTCCCCCAGCTCAGGTCCTCACATCTCTTGCTGAATATAGAAAGAGTTTCTCAACACTTTGCCCTCCCTCTGCCCCTTCTTTCTCTACACTGTCACCAGAGTCCTGCTGCTTTTACTGTTTAAGTAAATTTCCCTTCCAATTTCTTCTCTGTCGGTTCCAGCTCAGACTCCACCATCTCTTGCCTGGGGATCATGGCTGTCTAACCTGTCTCCCTGCCCCTCGACCTTGCCCACTACAATCCACCCTCCACAACCTGAATGGAAATTATCAGTTCTCTGCTTAAAATTATCTACTGCTCTTTGGCGCGTCAAAGGGCATTATCAATAAAGCGAAAAGAGAAAAACTCGTGGAACAGGAGAAACCATTTGCAAATCATATATCTGGTAAGCAATTAATACCCAGAATACATACAGAACTCTTACAATCCTATCACAAAAAAACAGCAAACAACTCAATTTAAAAATAGGGGAAGGATTTGAACATGCATTTCTCCAAAGATGATGTGCAAATAGCCTGTAAGCACATGAAAGGATGTCCAACGTCACTGATCCTTAGAGAAATGCAAATCAAAACCACAGTGAGACACCACTTCACATGCTTTAGGATGGCCACTATAAAAAAACCTCAAAAAATAACAAGTGTTGGGGAGGAGATGGTGAAGCTGGAATCCTTGTGCATTCCTGGTAGGAATGTAATATGGTTTAGCTGCTGTGAAGGACAGTTTGATGGTTCCACAAAAAGTTAAGCATAGAATTACCACATGATTCAGCAATTTTACTTCTAGGTATATATCCCCAAAAATTAAAAGCAGGAACTGAAACAGATACTTGCGTAGCGATGTTCAGAGTAGCAGTATTCACAGTAGCCAAAAAGTGGAAACAATCCAGATGCCATCAAGAGAATGAATGTGTAACCAAACATATGTGTATATACAGGTGTACCTATAGCTATATAAAATTCAGCCTTGAAAATGAAATTCTGAGACATGCTACAAATAGATGAACCTTGAAAACCTTATGCTATGTGAGCTGGTGCAAAAGGACAAATACTGAATGATTCCACCTATATGAAGTGCCCAGAACAGGCGAATTCACAGAGATTGAATGTCAAGTAGTGCTGGAAAGCAGAAAAGAGGCTGGGGTGGGGGTGGCGGGGGACATGGGGAAATGAATGTTCAATGAGAAGGATTTCTGTTTGGGAGGATGAGGCGTTCTGTAAATGGATAGTGGTCGTGTACACACAGCACTATGTGCTTTATGCCACTGAATCACACACTTAAAAATAATCAAAATGTTAAATTTTATGTTATGTATATTTTATCACAGAAGGAGTAATATTTCCTGTCAGCAGGACGAAGTCCAGCCTCATTGGCACGGCCAATACGACCTTTCCTGCTGACCTCGCGTCTGCCAGTCCCCCCGGGTTCGCCTCTGGCTTGCTTCCCTGGCTCTGATGAGGCACTTGAACTGTCCTCCTTTCGTGATGGGATTCCATGCCCCGTCCTTCCTTCAAATCTCAGCTCACACTGCCTCCTCCAGGAAGTCCTCCCTTCTCTTGACATCCCACGCTTGACTCAGCACTGACTCTCCGTGTTTCCCATAATACTTAGACAGATCTGTCCTCAGCCCTCAAGACAGAGGCTCCCTGTAGCCTCTCTGTGAAGCCCTCCGTGTCTTTCTCAGTCAGGTGGCTTCTCCCAGCGTCGTGTTCCTGAGTCTCCCAGTGCTCTGTTCACTTTGCGGCCATTATTAGCCCTCCCACCTGCCTCTGCCACTAGCCTGAGAGCTTCTCAAAGGCAGAGATGCAACGGAGCAAGAACGCCGCTCAGAGAGCCCTGCCGCAGGAGCGATGGTCTCGGAACGGCCACGCCTCAAACCCACTCCTCTTAGGTTTGACACGGGAAGGAAAGGCGTTTGTTCTCTAAGGAAATAGAGGAGCAATCTACTGCCCTTTTCCCATTTAAGATGCAGGTACTATTTTCAGCCTATACGAGGTAAGCTCTTAAAAACACCCCTGCTTTGTCTGACTTTGGTTTTGGTTGGTCGGCTCTCTTTCACCTCTAAGGGTTTACTGGGAAGACCAGAAACGGTCATTACTTCTAGCTTTAAGAAAAAGAAAAACACTAGGGGGAAAAAGAAGGAAACTTTTAATAACTTTCAGAAAATGTGGTTCTTTTAAAAAGGAAAATTTGTTTGCCGATACTGACTGGTATATGCAAAACAGATAAACAAGTTTATGCTGTAGGGCACAGGGAAACATAGTCAATACCTTGTCATAGCTCACGGTGAAAAAGAATGTGGAAGTGAATGTATGTGTGTTCATGTATGACTGAAGCATTGTGCTGTGCACCAGAAGCTGGCATATTGTAAACAGACTATATCTCAATTAAAAAAATGTTTAAAACATTTAAAAAGGATATTTTGCTCAAACCATGTTAGATGGGCCTACCTCATGCCATTTCTTCACATCTTGACTCTGACTTGTATTAACCAGTCTCTGATTTCCTAACATAAATCATTATCTCCTCACTCACTGTTGTTTTCGGTTTTGAAGTCAGGTCCCTTTCTGAGGCCCGGGGCCATCAGAACTTCAACATACGCACTTGGGGGTCACAATTCAACCCGTAACACCACCTTATTTACCCCTTCCAAGAACTCATTTAAACATTTGTCATTTTCCCCATTTTACAGAGGATGAAACTGATGGTCAGGGAGGTTAAGCAATGAACTCAAAGTAGAAGAACGAGTGAGTCGCGGAGCTGAGCTCTGAAGTGCGGTCTCCAGTTCCAGATCCCAGCCTCTCCTCATTCTACAAGCAGAATGCCTCTGTTTACGGTCTCTGCCTTATTTCTTCCAGGCTTAGTAAACACCTGTCAGCTTGCGGAGCCTGGGCCTCTTCACTGCTACGCAATGATTCAGTTCCATTTCCAAATACTTACTGAGTACTGCTACTGTGTGAATTTCCGGCACTGGGGTCAAGGATGACTTGAGACGTGGACCAGGTTTCAAGGCACTTAAAACTGAATGGCAGAGACAGACACAGAAGCAAGTCACTATTTCATAAGAGAATCCTGGGTATTGGGCAGAGATTCAAACAATTCTGGAGGCATTAATACCAGTTGATGGGACTCGGCCAATGATTTCTGTGTCCTCGCCCGGGTGACCGGGGGCTGCAGGATGCACGTTGCACCAGCAGTTTCCTTCGCACCAGCTCATGCTTCCTTCGTGGGACTACTGAAGAAGTGCTGTCTACTGAGGAATTAATTTCTGAAGCAGAATTAGCTTCTGAGAAGCCTGACCTCAGCATGGTGTTCCTTTCTCTCCGCTGAGGTCATTCACTCTCTCTCCATGAGAAGGATCTGGTTCTGGAGACACTCAGTCTTGGCGTGAAGCGACTCCCTTTTCTGAGACAGATGATGAAGTTTCCACAAGAACGCAGGGGGACATTTTCTTCCTCACCCAGGATCCCCCTGAATGTCACAAATCTGCCCTTCCTGGGGGAAAGTACACTGGATGTTGAACAAAGCCAAGCTTTTCTTTACTCCAGATACCAAAGTCAGTCTACTGGATGAAATATTTCCAGTGAAGGCACTTCTTCAAAGCACTGTTCTACACAGTCCTTTGCCTTTGAAGTCGTCCAATAAACTAATTACTGTAAAGCAGACATGACTGCGTGTCCCTCTTAAAATGCACACACCCCCCCTCTGTGCCAGGAACTCTTAATGAGCAATGATGGAATTTTGAGGGCTTCAAAGAAAGATCTGCTTTCAGACATGAAAATATCTGTTTTCTTAATAAATATTCACGGGATCAGGTCACTTAAATTCTGAAATTTTCAGAGCGGGCAAGCATGAGAATCAGAGGAAGAAGGAAGGAAGGGGCGCTTCACTCTTACAGAGGGAGCTTCGCTACTGACATGCTCTGGTTTTAATGAGGTTTGGCAGGAAAAGACTAGTGAGTACTTGGGTTTCTATCTCAAAAATGGAGCCTCAAATATCTTCAAGTCGCAAATCCTCCTTGATGTGCTATTTGCAAATAATTAGGGTTTACTCATGCATTCATCCAACGTTTATTGAACATCTGTTATGTGTAGAGCACAGGGCATGTAGAGAAGGTTTTGGGGAGCTCAGACTGCTGGTTATGAGAATGCCAATGTCAATGTTAACAGCAAGAAACAGAAACGCCAACAGCTACATACATCTACATCCTTCCTCGTATGTGTCTAGTGTAAATGGCACTGCCATTCGGTCTTAGGCTGGTGAAATATCAAAGTTAATGGCTCACTCCGGTCTTCATGAATATGAGTCGAAGATAAAAAGTACTTAATGAGACATGGCCTGGTGCTGGAGAAGAGCTGTGTCTGTGAGGGAGGAAACTAAGAAAGGAACAAGTGAAAGAAATTCTTTCTCCTGACAAAAAAATCCCCACTTCTAAGATGCATGTTTTTGGAGTAAGTAGAGACTAAGTACAAAGCAAGACCCTCTCACGCCTGATTCCATCGTTAACACGGATGTATTAGATGGGATGCTTTCGGCTGTAAGAACGGATAATCCACCCAAAGTGGCTTAGCTGAGAAAGATATTTACTCTCACACAACAATGAAATACAGAGGTCGAGTGGTATCTGGGCCTTAATTCAGCAGCTCAGTGAGTTCGTGCGGGCATACAGGCCCTGCCCATCTTCCTGTGACACCATTCTCACCGTGCTGGCTTTTGGCTCCAGACTGTCTGTCCTCTGGCTGTCTGTCTATTTGCTATTCTTTGGCTCTGTTCTCTCACAGTTGCAAGACAGTGACAGCTGCTCTGAGCATCCTATCCTCACAAATCTATATCCAGTGGCCTCCCAAGAAACAGTCTCCTTTGAGTTCCTTTTGAACAGCAAGAACCTTCCAGAAGCTCCCTCGACAGACTTCCTCTCAGTTCTCATTGGCCAGAATTAAGTCACATGCTTATTGCCAAACCAATCACTGGCCAAGGAAGTTGGATTATCGCACTTTATCTGAACTATCAAGATTTACACCCCGGGGCTGGAGAGGGGGCCAGCATCCCTTGAAGAGTATGGCTCTCTGATTCCTGGACAAAATGGGAACACCTATAGCAAAGAACACAAGGCAGAAGTTGGTGGTAGGAGGGCATGGGTGTAAGGTAAGCAGCCAGAGGGGCCACCCTTTGGCGACTCAAGGCGGAAGTACCTCCAGGCAAGGAGCAATTCCATGATGGGGACCTTCTCTGATGGCCACCGGGCTTGACCTTGCTCCACAGAAAGGATGAGCTGCTCTTGCAGGAATGAGTTTTGCTGATCTTTAGGGAAGCTGCGAAGGACACCCTGTACTCTGTATTCCGCTGGTTCATATTACACCACCTTGACCTGCAGCCAAATTATGCATAAGAGCTCTAAAGTGGCTCACGGCTTGGGTAGGCTGGCTGACATCATCTGTCAAATGCGGCACTCTAGAATTATCTTACCACCGTTAAACCACGCAAAGGCTTTCCCATAGAATATTTATAGGAAAATGTGTCTTTGAAGCAAGAATGAAACACCCTAGAACTTACTCCATGAGGAAGAACGGAGTGCCGGCCCCAGCCCATGATCGTCACAGTGAGGGGGTGAGGACACAGCAACCAGTGACCAGGTTTAAACTCAGTGAGAAAGGAAATATGGGTGGGGCTTCTTGAGTTGGTCCTTCTTTGTAAAACTGAAATTATGAGCATCTTTGAAATGGAGAAGTTTGCTTCTTATATGTAAATTACTCAACAGTAGAAGGGATCATATTAAAATACTTTAAGACATATTCCTAGTGGACCTGACACAGCGCTTTATGCGTAGCACTGAATGGCTATCTTTTGCTCAGTGGATTACAGTGAGATTCCTTCATAAAATTATCAAAACAGGAGTGGACCCAAGTACTGGCTACCTTGGCAATATTACTGGCATTAAAGCTCACTTTACAGAAGCAAAAGCTGTCCCCCAGGTTGGTATCAGCGGTCCCCTCCTGGGGCTGCACACGGAATCGCCTGCAGGGCTTCCCACACCTATGCCTTGGTTTATCTGCAGAGTTTCTGATTTGGTGGAGAGTCAAGTCTGGGCATTGACATGTTTGAAAGCCCTCCAGGTGGTTCTAATGTGCAGCCAAGGTTGAGCAGCTGCACCCAAGTCACCGGCAGGGTTTGTGGAAACACAGGTGTCTGGGCCAAACCTCAGAATTTGTGATCCAGCAGGTCTGGGGTGGGAGCCACTGATTGGCATTAAGTTCCCAGGAAATGCTCATGCTGTTGGTTGGAGGGGGATTTAGGAACCCCGCACTCTGGAGCATGGTTCAGCAAACCCGTAAGGCCGTGTAAGTTCCAAGTCCATGTCGGTTACAGAGCTGGAGTTCTGGTGTTGTGTGGCCCAGGCACTAAGGATGGTTTTACCTTTTCAAAAAGTTATAAAGAAGCAAAAACAAAAAAGCGATGATAAAAACAAAGAAGAATATGCAGCAGAGTCCCTGTGGCCTGGAAAGCCTGAAATGTTTGCTCTCTGGCCTCTTACAGAAAATGTTTGCTGGTTCCTGCTCCAGAGGATCTTGGAGTCTGGTGGAAAAAAAGTGAGAATCTTAAAAGGGCAAGAGAAGAACTCTGATGGGGAAAATTGTTCTGGAGGCATGGGGGAAGCTAAACAGCTGGAAGAGTATTAACTCCCTCCTAAGTGCCAGGAAAATGGTATAATTTCATTTATCCTGACGATGCTATTATTGTCACTCCCATTTTATAGATCAAGATAATTGAAGCTCAAGAGATATTAACCTACTAGCATACAAAGCTCGTACATGAAAGAGCTATGAATCAAAGATTCCCATCAACACCAAAAATAATTCTAGAAAAGGCTTAGAATTCTGTTTAGAAATGGATGTCTCCCAGAGTAAGTCTAAAAACATCATAAGCCCTAGAAATATCCATTTTTCCCCCTGTGGTTCAATTCGTAATTGCTGTGTTTCAGGCGCTATGCTACAAAAATCGGTGAACTGCTATCCCCGCCTTCAAGGAACTTACTGTCCAGTGAGAGAAACAGACACGGGATGAAACCCATACAAAGTTGGAGGAGAGGCTGAAGACCAGAGGGGTCAGGCAAGGCTTCACGGAGCAGAGATCCTTTAAGGATGCTAGTGCCCCAGATGGACAAGGCTGGGAAGCGCTCCCTGCAGAGCAGACAGCACTGATATTCCAACCCAGGCAAGTCCCAGATGGAAGGATTTGACCAGCTTGCAGCGTCTTTCTGCAGACCACAGGGCTTACCAGCATCTTGGCCTCTGACTACCTACACACATGAGACATCTGGGCGGCTAACCAAGAAGAGGCCCCTGGCTCAAGAGGCCAGGAACAGCCAGTGACCACAGCAGCTAGTGTGTGACAGCAAATGCTGGTCCAATTTCAGTGAAATGAGAAACTTTCAGCTCCATTTTATGGTTTTAGGCAGTCATTTCCAAGCACAGTTATTAAGAAAGGGGTTATTTAAATTAATGATTCGTCTCTTGGAGGGGGAGAGTGGTAAGTGAACATGTGATAATGACATGAGGGTTAGGTTTCTTACAGCCACTTTGGGCCAGAACACTGTGAAACCACCAGTTTTGTGTACGTGTGATTTGCCATGCCGAGCTGGGGAAAGAGGCAGGATTCGGCATCGTTCGTTTCAAGAGACTAATATTTTCACTTCTCACTTGAATTTGCTTCTAAGGGTCGAGGTGCAGAAGAAAGCACCGGGCAAGAAAAGCTCCCAAGATTGCCCGCTACTGTGTTCGGAGTCCACAGAGGGGAGTAAGAGAGAGATTTGTGCATCAGAAACTGGCAGCCTGGGTGGGGAGGGGAGGAGGGCGTAATGGACGATCTCAGCACAGTGCGATGATGGTGGCGTCAAGTCGGGACAACAGAGGAGCCTGAAGAGGAGCCCCTAGCCATCCAGCAGGATTCAAGGAAGGCTTCCGGGAGGGGCTGTGCTGGGCAGAAAGCTTGCTTCTCGTCTGACAGGGATCCCCTTTCACTATCTTTTTGTGACTGTTTTTCTTACTGTAAACGACACATCTGACCCATAAGTTTTGACCTGGATTTTTGTAACTTAAGTAGAATCTTAGAGAAATTTTATCATCCATCACTGACGTGCATCTGCCCCTGGGGAGGTGAGTCGCGAACAGCTTAAGGGCATGAAACACTGGAATGCAGAGCCCAGAGAATGTGCTGAGAGATAACTCATCTAGAAAGAGCCAACTGGTTATACGGCAGCATTCTAGAACTTTCCACATAGATCAGGCATTCCATTTTTCTGTTTCACATGTACATTTGAAAACTTGGGAGAGTAACATAGGATCATTATCAAAAACTTTGGAAAAGGAAGGAAAAGCACAAAGAAGAAAAAAATCATTTATATTAGTACAATGCAGAATTAATCTTTCGGTACATTTGCTTTTAAAGTCTTCTATGCGTATAGAGATATGCAGGTTTCAGACAACTGAAATGACATCGTATATATACATCTGTGCTCAGTTTCTTTCTGCTCATTTAACATTATTTCATATGAATTTTCTCATGATTTTACAATTTCATCAAAAATTTTTTCCACCACGTGTTTAATTATTTTAACCATTCCCTTTCTCTTTCGAAATCTAGTTTTCTTCCCCCCCATAGTTTTTGGCCATTATAAATAACATGATAAAAAAATGTGTTACATACAACCTTGTCCTGGTTTGCCTGGGAACTTTAATGGTTTTTTGGGCATACATGGCTAAAATGCTTTCCAAAAAATCTATCCCTTTGTCGATATTAAGTATTACTATTTTTGAAATATGTGCTAAAGTGACGGGTCAGATTGAGTATTTCATTTTCACTTCCATTTATCACTATAGTGCTGGCCACTTAAAAATGTTTTTCATGGCTATTTTTACTTTTTCTTCTTAAACCTGTCAGTGTCCTTTGCCAATCTTTCTACTGAGAAATTACTTTTCTTATTGATTGTATGAATGCTTTATAAATGAAGACTATTAAATCTTTCCATATTCATGAAAATATATTCTTCCTTTTTGTTTGTCTTTAGATTGTTTTATGTGCAGAAGAGTTTAACTTCTATGTAATAAAAGCAACAATATTTTTCGTAATGTTTCACACTTAGATTCCTTTCTTAAATGTGGGGAAGATAATTACTGTTCATCTAAATTTTCGTTTAGTTTTTTTAAGTAAAAAAGAAAATTTCTTTAACTTTCTACATTAACCTCTAAGATCCCTCTAGAATTTGGTTTGGTTTATGATATGTGGTGCGGATCACGCAGAACATCAAGAGAAGACCCAAAGTGAAGGCAACGTTCCAAGACTAGAAAATATCTTTCATTCTCAGTAGGTGAAATTCAGTTAGAATCAAATGGCACAAAAAATCAGAATTAACAGGGCCCAAGTTATATCATACTGCTCTGAAAATGCAAATTCATTATTATTCAAATGCGAATTATTTACTAGACAAACTCTTTTAAAACCTAGAGCGTGTGGGCAAAAATAATATGAGGGTCTTTGATATTTATTTATTCAAGACATATTTATTGAGCACCATTTACTGAGTTATGCCAGAAACGGTTCTTGATTGGAAAGCAACTGGAGTTACAGTGGCCCTGTTGGAGGACACAGCGCCAGGATGTGTCACACCGTGGAGAAGAAAGACATTGTCAGTTTAATATGGTTCATGTGTTTGCAAGAAGCAGCTCTTCTAAAATACAACTAACTCAGAAATGCCTTGTTGTCGGACATAGCAATGTTATGAGGGAATGCGATGACGAAGTTTCTGGCGCCCTCTAGAAATGACTTAAAAGGGAGAGAGGAACAGTAATATTTTATCAGGGCTTACCCAAGGATGATAATATTTTTTGGTATTACAGTCATTAGAAAGTTAGATTGTGCAGTGAGTTGGCAGGCTTGTCCTATGTAGTGGGTTGGCAGTAAAATCCCAAACGTAGGAAATATTCTTCAAAATCATCCAGTTCCCTTTGGGATTATCCACTCACATGTCTCAGTAGTCTAGGTTCTTTTTTTGGTATCAAATTAGAACACATTATCTTGATCCACTGTGAAACTGCCTTCGTTGAATTATGCCTAAGGCTTATGCCCTCGGCATTTACTGAGGGGCACCCTTGTGAATTTCATTGCTACATCTGTCACAGAAATGAGGGCATTGTCCAACAACTCACTCATCACTCCCTCATGCGACACTCCCTCCAGAAACGTCCCCCTTCCCTCTCTTCCCTCCTCCCTTCTTTCATTTTCTTTCTTTTTTAAAATTTCTGAATGCAGTTAGTGTAATTAAGTTTTAATGACATTAACTACATGGACCTCTCCATCCCCTCCCCTTGACTTCCAACTCCTCTTTATAATTCCTTTGTTCTAATTTATTTTCACTTGTGTTATTTTATTTCCTCACTGTATTTTTTTGGTAATGGGTCATTTGCTCTAATTTCAGATAATATTCTGATAAATTATTAGTTCCTAGGTATTTTGCTATTAGGAAGCGCAGCGGTGGCAGGAGGGTTTGATCTTGCCTGCCAGCAGGGGGCAATGGCAATGGTTGGCTGGAGCACGATGTGAAGAAGGAAAGGCGTGCTACGCTTGATTAGTGATGTCTGCCGTGAGCACGGTAGCAGAGCTTGTTGACACTTCTGCCAGGTATTTGACATCTAAGTCTTAAATAAATACATGACTATTCTAATAACAAGAAAGCATAAACAAGAGAATTAATGGCATTCTGACTAATAAACCAGTGATTCATAAGTTTCATTAGCCCACATCCTTTCCTCAAAGCATGATTATACCTAGGTAAAATGAAAAAAAATTGGGTTCCTAAACTGCAATAAAAAAGAATAAAATAATGCCATTTGCAGCAACATGGGTGGAACTGGAGATCGTCATTCTAAGTAAAGTGAGCCAGAAAGGAAAAAAATAATTACTGTATGATATCATTCATATGTGGAATCTTACAAAAAAAAAAAGACACTATGAAAAAAAGGACACTGTGAACTCATCTAAGAAACAGACTTGCAGACATAGTGAACAATCTTAGGGGTTACCAGGGTAAAGGGGGTGGGTAGGGATAAGTTTGGGAGTTTGAGATTTGCAGATGCTAACCACTATTTGTAAAAATAAAGAACAAATTTCTTCTGTATAGAATAGGGAACTATATTCAGTATCTTGTAGTAACCCTTAATGAAAAAGAATATGAAAACAAATACATGTATGTATGTGCATGACTGGGATAGTGTGCTGTACACCTGAAATTGACACACTGTAACTGACTATACTTCAATTAAAAAAAAGAAAAGAAAATCTCACAATGGAGAACGAAAAAAAAAAAAGAAAGAAAGAAAAAGAAAAAAAAGAAATGGGCCCTTTTTTATAAATCTTACTGGCACTGACTTCATGCAAAGGTAAAATGGGATTCTTCCTAGAAGGGGAGATTTAAGAAACCGGGTCCCTAAATCTCTCTCCCACTGGCTTTTCAATATATGAAAGTGTAAAATTAGAGATAATTTTTTTAGATTCTAAAAGCTAGCTCTTAATGACTCCTTTGCTAAGAGACAAATAGTCCTATAGAGGGGTAACACTTCAGCTCTTACTAGCTGATTAATTGCTTGACTACTAGTTAGGAAGATGGGAGAGTGGGGATAGGGGATCCTTTAGTTGGGTATGAGCAGCCAGAGGAAGGAGGGGCGGCAGAGCTAGGTTTTGCCAATTTCGCAGTCTGGCCTGTCTTAGTCCAACAGCCCACTTGAGATAAGCAATGAGTAAGCTTATAGACGCATCATCACTGGTCCTAAAGAATGAGGCACGCGGCAATTCTCTTACTAGGAGTTGAAAGGAATATACAGGCAACCATTAATGACACAAACAACAACTTATATGCAGATTGCAGGTGAAGAATTCTTACTTTTTTTTTCACTGAATAATTTGTTATTCAAATTCTCTCAAATCCAACAGACATGTTTCTGGGAAGATTTTTTTTTTTAATTGGCATGATAGGAGAAATGGGGACCACCACTCATTCATTCATTCATTCTGTGAATAAATTGACCAATGTTCCTTCTGTGCTTACAGGAGTCTGGTAAAGGGCAATGCTATTCAGGATGCAAAAGTAATGGAAGACAGAGTCCCTGCCTCTGAAGAGGTTACATCTGGGTTGGGAGATGAGTGGTACGCACACAAAACAACTGGGGAAAGCAGCAGGCTGGATAAAATCAAGTGTTTAGGGTGCATGGTTCAGACTGCAAGCACTATAGAAATTCAGAAGCAGGAAAGATCACATGAGGAGAAAAATCAAAGAGCAGTCCCTTTGAAAGGGACTGCATGGAGCTGCTCCTCCTGTCTCAGGTGTCAGCAGCCAGCTCTGTGCCTCTCATCATCCCGGGAAAGGCCGGAATCAACTGTGTGATGTTCCACACCTGCCCTGGACAAGCCCAGCATGTCCCACTCTGAGAACAGCCACCAACCACCCAGAGAAGGAAATCAACCATGGACTCTTGGAAGTACTAAAATAATTTTAAAAAATGAAAAAGAAACAATTTCTATCCTTGGTGTGCAAGGTCTTTGTGAAGAATTATGAACTTTACTGTTCTGGCCTGCAGATTGCGGTTTGGACCTGCTACATCCACAAAGGCAGGTTCATTTTTGTTCAGATTTAGGAACCTGTTGCTAAAATTCCATATCAAATATGCAAGACATATTTGAATGTACAAGCCAGCTGTTTGGTAGAATGTCCCTCAGTTTGAGCTTTACCAATTGTTTCCTTATAATCAGTCATTTAATGTCTTAGAACCAACTTAATTTCTATCTTATGCCTCCACCACCCAGGCCAGTCCCTTGGGTCGGGCAGCTGAGGAAGTCATTTCAGGTCCAAGCTTGAGGGCTTATCATAGGCGCTGCCCCTTACCCACGTTGACGGAGCATCACTGAAATTAAATTTCAAATGTTCTGTCTTTAACAGTCTCTCAAAGAGCCTATGAAAGACGCTAACAGCATGGACCTTCTCAAATGTCCTATCTTGGCTGTAACCCCCTGGATCCCTCACCCTTTCAGGGACGGCCTTGGCCCTATTCCTGCATGGTGCTGAAAGCAATCTAAGTCCATTTGGACATGTCACCACTTTTCCTCAATTCTGGCTCAGTTCTGGAGGCTTCTCAGGTGCTAAACTGTCAGGGTCCGAGAAGGGGGTCTGCCTGATGAACTCGTCTCCCCCCGCAGGTGTCTACTGACCATGCTTCCATGCTTGGTGCTCAGGCCTTGGTTCATGCAGGCCACTTGGAAGATTGTTCCCCTGGTACTTTCTGGACTGCTGGCTCTTTCTCCTACTTTCCAACGGCTCTCACGCATGGACAGCAGGAAACTTGGCAAGTGAAATGAAATCCCTGACTTCCTAGGCCTTGCTGCCTCCCCGGAGCACGAAGCAGACAGACCCTCTCTCCGTGTAAACCACTGACATGTGGCTTTAGTCATCGCCTCTTCTCCCATCCTCCACCCAGCCCCAACTCTTCAGTCCAGAAAATCCTTTTCTAACCTGAAGTCTTGCTTTACTCAAATCTTTTATGTAGACCAGCAGTTCTCGAAGTATGATTCCTGAACCACCAGCATCAGTATCACTTAGGAACTTGTTAACATGCCAAGTATCTTCCACCCCACCTAGCCCTACTGAACCAGGAGCCCTCATTAGAGTAGGGTCTGGTGATCTTTGTTTTAGTAAGCTCTCCAGATGATTTGGGTGCTAGACAAAGAAGTTTGAAAGCTACAGATCTACACCTTGAGTTCTTTTTCCTCCCCTAGTGCATTGGTTCTCAAGTTTTAACATACATCAGAATCACCCGGATGGCTTGTTAAAGTAGATTTTTGGGTCTTACCTGCAAAATTTCTGATTCACCAGGTCTGCAGAGAGGCCTGAGAATTTGCATTTCTAACTAGTTTCCAAGTGATGCTGATTCTGCTGGCCAGGGGACCATTTCAGAGAACCATTGTCCCTGTAAAAGGTTTTAGCTCCATAATTGTCAACTCTCTTCCTTCCATCTCTCCCAGTAAGATCCATCTAATTATTATTGCTAACATAACCAAA